AGTAATGGATGCACCCTAATGTAAAATAAGGAAACTTTATCTTGGAATTTTCCCAATGAGAAGATTTACGGTGACTTTTGTCACAGGTCGGAAGGAACATCTAGAGCTAATCTAGTTTAACCCCCCTGCTCAAAGCAGTGTCAACTGGAGCATGTCACTAAAGACTGCGTCCAGTTGAGTTCTGAGTATCTCCAAGGATGGAGACTCCACAACCTCTCTGGGCACCTGTTCCAGTATTCTACCAACCTTGCAGTAAAAAAGGGGTTTTAAAAATGTTTAAATCAAATTTCCTGTATTTCAATTTGTGCCCACTGCCCGTTGTCCTATCACTGGATACCACTGAGAAGAGTCTGGCTGTGTCTTCTTTATGCTATCCCATCAGGTATTTATAATGATAAGATCCCCCTTCCAAGCCTTCTCTTCTCCAAGCTAAACAATCCCAGGTCTGTCAGCCTCTCCTTGTATGTCAGATGCTGCGTGCTCTTAATCATCTTCATGGCCTTTGACTAGACCCGCTCCAGTATGTCCCTTTCTCTTTTCTACTAGGGAGTCCAGAACTGGACACAGTACTCCAGATATAGCCTCAACAGTGCTGAGTAGAGGGGAAGGATCAACTCCCTTGACCTTCTGGCAACACTTCCTAATGTAGCATAGGAGGCTGTTGGCCCTCTGCCACAAGGGCACAGTGCTGGCTCATGTTCAGCTTGGTGTTCACCAGAACCCCCAGGTTCTTTTCTGCAAAGCTACTTTCCAGGTGGTTGGCCCCCAGCCTGTACTGGTGTATCGGTTTATTCCTCCCTAGATTCAGGACTTTGCAACACCAGTCTGAACAACAGAAGACAACTGCTTTCTAAGCTAGGTTCACACAGATGTACATTGGCACACACCCCTGGGCTCCTCACACAATTTCATTTCATGCAAAAAAAGCCAGTGTCAACACATATATCAGACTGTCACAGAAACACTGCCAGTTCTGGTTTCACTGTGCCAAGTGCACACAGAAGTACTTGCATTATGTAAGCATATCAAGTGCTTGAGAATATGAAAGAGACATTTACAAAAGTGTGTACACAGTTGTGCAGATCTGTATCTTAAAATACAGTTCCGAGTTATCTTTCTGTTTACATCCCAAAGATAGTGTTCTTCACCTATAAAGCTGTCTTTCTATTCGATGACTTCTAAAATATCACCAGTCTTTATCATCCCATAAAGCAGATCCCCTTTCAAAAAAAGAGATTTGCACATTTTCTTTTCATCTTCCTGTTGTTCCAACTATTTTTCCTTTCTTTTCCTTTGGAAAAAAATCATGCTGATGCATTTTCTTGCTGCTTTACTTTCTCCAGTTTTGACCATGACTTCTGATACTGCAAGGGTGCACAATGTAATTCAAGACATTTAATTTTGTTTAATTAAATTAATTTTGTTTAATTTAATTCTGCTGTATTCATCATAAATGAATACAGCAGAAAATGTAATGAAAGAACCAAACCTTGTGCACTTTCTTCAGAAGACAGTCTCATTAAAAATCACTAATAATTTATAGTATGAATGTGTTGAGCAGGAATTGACCTGAAGTCCTGAGAATACCAAAACTGAAAGAAGAGTTTACTTTGACTTGCATTCTTAAAAGATCATTAGCTAGAACTAGAATATTTCCATTTAAAATATTTTAATTTCTAATCTTTATTCCCTGAAAGCCATGATAGTGTTGGTAATCTCAGGCATGCATCTGCTCTTTGATAAAACTTCACTTATTTCTACAAGAAAAATACATAAAAGAGCAAGTTAAGAAGAGGGTGTAATAGCTATGAGGCCCTATTAGGTTAGAGATGGAATATGAAGTTTCCCTTCTCAATAAACTTAATCTTTTTTTTTTTATTATTTGTGACATATTTTAAACACATCACTGTGTAAAGATGTTATTATTCATCCTCAGCATTTTCTGAGTAAAAGACCTTCATATTTAGACAAATCCTGACATCTTCTGTGAGAACTCAAATTTGTCAGATACAAATTGTTCAGATGCAGCCTTTGGCTCAGAAAACCCCTAAACTACTGATTGCTGGGAAGTGGTAAGTATACTAGGGAAGGCATCATTCTATACAGAGCCTGGCTTTTATATGCTTTTTTACGAAATCTCTGCTACTGGCAGCTGTCAGATTTGGGCTAGCTGGGGTGATATGGTCTAATCCAGTACAGACTTCGTAAGGTTTTATGTTTCCCTGCTACTTCCTTATCTGTGTCATCATCTCCTTTGTTTTTCTTTCTCTCAGTTTTTAAAATGTACTCCCTCAATTTCCCTAGCTGAATTTCCTTTTGATGGCTTATCAGTGTATACTTTTTCTATAGCTACAACTGCAATCTTCTCTTCTTGTTCATATTACACCACTGTCCTACTCTGATGTCCATCTAATATTCCAGAACTGATATGCCCACGATCAAAGTTTTTTCCTCCTCATAACTTCTTCTATCCTGTTCAGTTCCTAATGTATTATCTCCACCTCAGCATTTTTTTCCCTTCCCACAGTTTCCAAATTTTCTTCCAGAGCTGCCTTTCTCAGCACTAGTGGATCTGTTCCTGTTTCTTTCCTTCTGGGTCTTTGCACCTTTCCTCTTTGTTACCTTCCCTAGTCTGGTAGAACAGATGAGTTATAAAGGGAAATAGGTGCCTCTTCTAGCTGCCTGAATCAGAAGCACCTTTAAGAGTCTCAAATACTGATGTATTCAAACAGGAAACATAAAATGAAGCTGTCTGCTAATTTTCCAAGGAAGACATCAGCACAAACAAGATTAATGAACTTTATGTTGTCTGAGACAGCAATGCCAACTTCTTGAAAGAAACTCAGAGTGCCCTGCAACAGCTCAGGTCACTTAGAGACTTACTGATTATTATTGATGACCTTAACTAATAGAATGCTGATAATTAGCATAATTACCTAATTGTTATTATTCTCTCTGGCTGGGAAAGCAATAGGCTTTCTTTAACAAGCTTTGGAAGATGGAATTGGTTGTGTTACCCAGGAGTTCTCACAGTGCAGTGCTGTGCATTTTGAACTAAAGCAGTGAACTAAATGAGCCTTTGTCCCATCTGCTGACTATCAGTGATTTCTGAGCAATACACTACCCTCCTGACTATTTAATACTGGGGATGATTTAATGCATTCCTGTCCCTAAATATTTTTCTTCCTGATACTTTTTCTTCCTACCAAATTAGGTTCCCATTCCAGATCCTATGCCATATGCACATCGCTCTTCCTGCTGCATTAAAGACTGAACCTCTGAGACTATTTATTACTCCTCTCCTTCTATTGGCTTTCTACACCGAAGCCTTGCTGAACCTTCATCTCCCATCTTTCCTCACAGATACAGCAAAAACGTTAAGTTGGCTCACATGGCTTTCCTCAGCTGTAGGAGGGTGAGGATGTGAAGCACGTCTTGTAAAATGTCTGTCAAACTAAACAAGTAATTTCCAGAGGGTTTCTAACACCCATCAGTTGTTATGAATATCACATTACTATCATAGTTATTTAAAACAGTTTTAGATTAGCTAAATGTCAGTCTTGCAGCAACTGAACAACCTTCAGGACATCTTTGTGTATATGACAGACTCCCAACTGTGAAATGATTACTTAAAAAACTCCATACTTCTAAATGAGCATGTGTTTATGGTTTTCTTTATGAAAAGAAAAAAAAATATCCAAGTTTGGTTTTGCTATTTAGATGTATTGTTTTGGTTTGTATTAGTCTCTCTTTTGAGTCTGAAAGTGCACAAGATCAATTTCACTGTTGTTTGTTTGTTTCCACATTTTCAGTGCTACAGCCTTGAGGTAGCATACACTGGGTTAAAAGAATTATATCTTGTGTTTGGTTTGTGGGTTTTTTTCAAATTCTCACAGACTTTAGTAACTTAAAAGCATGTATTTTGTTTAAGGAACAAATCAGAGGCTGTAATATCAACTTAAGAGTCTTTGCACAAAATCACATCTGAAAATGTTAACAGTTCTACTAAAATGACCAACCAGTGTTTTCTTCTGTTTAGTTTTTTAGTGTGGCCTTCCCTTATATACTAAACCTATGACAGATTTCTCATATACATTAAACTGATGAAAGAACTTCAATGGGGATTAGGCAGAGCTGCAAAAAAAAAGAAAGTTTTTTTCCAGTGGCACACAGTAGTTTATGTTGGATAAGGCAGGTGCAGAAAGCTCTGACAAAGTGTGATCAGAGAGACAAAACTCAGGAGGTACATGTGTTAATACAAATGCCCCAGTCACCATACTATGAAGAACCCACAAATAATTAGACTTTTTTGTAAGCAGCATGAATTCACATTTTATAAGATACAGCTATTTATCCTGGTTTATCTTGTAATGAGGCATAGTCTCAAGTATGTGATAACACATTCTGTCACCATGGAAAGGAATGTATATAATGTAATACACCAAGTTCATCAAAGAATAAATTCAAACATTATATGCCGGCAAAGCTTCAATCCTTATTTCAACACAAATAAGGATTTAAAGACATGTAGAATGTAAACACAAGTTTTCACAATAGTATTTGTATTCCCCCCCCTTACATAATTATTTTTTTCCTCTAATTTTGCTATGTCTCTAGTTGAGCTGAATTAGTTGTCTCTCACTGTTCAATTAGGTATACGCAATGAAGGATTGGGCAGAAAGCTATTGCTATTTCACCCTTGAAAGGCAAGGCTTCTCCCTTGATCTTTTTAAGTTGCCTAGTGATACAGAGTAAAATCCCATTCATCTTACATAAAAGCATCCAGTGAAATCAGTAAGATACCACCTTGGTAAGGGGACCAGGATTTGACCAAAAATTGCACTATCATAAGGATATGAGCATCATGCAGAATTTGTGGTCATACATCTCTATGCCTAAAACAGAAACACAAGTTAATGCTTTTGCTGAAAGTTTCCTCAATGTAGTATTTAGCAAAGATGTGCATATGAGTAAAGCTTTAATTAATCATAAGTAGACTCCTACCCAGAAATTGCTGCTAGTTTTTGATGAGCCTGATAGGCCATCTCACATCCTTGGGTTCGAGTTTTGTGCATTTCCACATGCAGAGATGAACAGGTGACTGAGACATCCCCAATGGAAATGACCAGCTCCCGGTACAGAGCCACCTGGGTATTGAACTCCTGGACAAGCTGAAAAACAAAGAGGATTTACTTACATGAGACATTTAACCACACTGATAAAAACAAACAAGTTTTTAAAAAACATGCCCTATCTAGGGTTTGTTCCTGCTGCTCCCAATTTCATGGCATACAGGATCAAGTGCCTAAGATTTAGTAAATGACTAGGACCTCCATGCCAGCTGCCTCTTCTGTGACCTATAAATGTTCATTTGCAGAAAGTAGTATTTCTGCTTTTAATCTCTGAAAGTGTTTGAGTTATTAGCCTTAAATATTAAGCAGACAAAAAACAGCTGTTTTACTAGTAGCATGAGGTTATTTTTTGCTATCATAAAAGACAAAAATATCTCCAGAAATTATTGCCTTTGCTCCTCCTGCTTCCTGATTACCAGCACATTTAGGGATTGCAATGTAGCATTTGCTTTTACACTGAAGATTTTGCTAATTTTTTGGTAATGATTTCTGTTCTATCACTGGCCTCTAACCCAACTTTCAGACTTAAAACTGATAAGCTATTAGCTGAGAAGATGTACCAGATAGGCACTTTCCAGTTAGGATTCTAGAAAGCACTTTTTCCAATGGGGGGGGACACAAAGAAGTAAATAAACACTTCAACCTTTTCACTTTTACAGTGATGGAAAGATCATTATTGTTTAGTTCCACTGATCACCTATTTGGGACTATATTTTAAGGAAACAAAGCATTTGCTGTCTTCTGAAAGAAAGCACATCAGACCATTTGCTCAACATGGTGGTGAGGGTAGAAGGCAGGGAGCAATAGAACAGAATATTTATCTTTGTTTTGCTCGTTTGATCTCAATTTCCAAAATACATAAAAACAGACAAGAGTAACTGCTCATAATTCTGCAGCCATCATTACCACCAGGAGTTCAACATATCCAAATATACAAGCATGCTAAAAAACCCTGTATCTGGCACCTGTATTCTATCAGATCTACAAAATTTTAAAGTCAAGCCCTCAAATTCTCATACTCAGAAAATACATGAGTCACTTCTGCAACATTCTGGATCTTCATGCATGCCACTGTAATTACTCTCTATAACTGAGAATAGCATCGGGACTCATTTTTTGGCCATGCTTTTCTAAATTTCATTGTAAGAGTAGCAAATAGGTTTCTCTGCTTCTGGAGCTGAAAAACAATCTCAATGCATTCTGATACATCTGCAAAAAAACCACCCCCAAAACAAACAAAAAAAAAGCACACGCCAAAGTCCCAGGCACAATACTTGTACTCTGCTTAACCTGGCTTTGGCTCTGTCATTCTGTAGAGGATGCATTGTAATAAGTAATTTAGCAAAAGAATTTTGCTTCAGCTAAAATGGATGTGTGCTTGCTATAGCTTCAGCTAAGATGGGTGTGTGCTTGCTATGGCTTCAGCTAAGATGGGTGCGTGCTTGCGATGGGTTTGGAAAAGGGACAGTGTTAGATAGGATATCAGACGAAAGCAACAGTTGGAAGTACCGAACCATTGCAAAACAAAGGGTGGTGTAGTTAGCTAAGATAACCACAGAAGTGTAAAGAATAAAGAAGCCACAAGAAGGACATGCTGATAAAGATTTGGAGGCTCCCTCCGATGACCACCAGGAAGACCCCTGAGGAAGCATATCGCCTGCGCCACTAGAAAGGAGGGGGCATGTTCAGGAGTGGGTTGCATTCCAAGAACTCATTGATTATGTAATTGGGGGGGTGGGTTGCATTCCAAAAACTCATTGATTATGCAAATTATTTTTGAAGAAGAAACATGAATAAGTATAAGGAACACGAAATAAAAACAAGCGCTTGTAAAGGAAAAACAAGCCACAGGAAGAGAAATCCCCTGTGTAACTCCCAGCGCTGTAATAAATATTCTTTGCTCCACCAAATTTGCCCCGACTAAAATTCAATATAGTAAGTGTGTTTCTCACATGCATGAAAGCAACAGAGAAAAAGAAATTGTACTACTTTGTGTTATAGTGTAATTATTCTGCATCAAGAAAAAAAGAAAAGCACCAGACACATTTTGCCAGTTCTCACCTGATATCCCCTGTCTAAATAGAGGACATATTTAGCCATCTCAGCATTGCCAAGGAAAACAAAACTATACTGATGTTGCAGCATTGAGACAGAGAAAAAGAAAAAAAAAAAAACCACATTGGTTTTATCTCCTGAATCTTACTGCAACTTGACAATCCATCTGTAAATCATATTTTATTTCTAATCAGTGAATTCTACCAGACAGTGAATAAACAAAGCTAGCACTTCTGTTTAACTAACCAAATTATGCTGTCAGGAATGAGAAAGAATGCAGGACCTAGTAGGATCCACTTGATGGGTATATTTATAGAGCTACTGTAGCAGCTTTTGTTCCTTGGCGCACTGGGAGTTGATCTCGATTTTGAACTATCAAAGCGGGTATCTGCCAGCACAGTTTGCAATACTAAAGGAAAAATACTGCCAGAATCCAGCAGAACAGAAGTAGCAGATGATATATTTCCAACACTACTGGACAAAGCTGTAGCAAGATCCAGATTTTTCAAGTAAAATAGCAGCAAGTTCATTTGTTTTCTATTTCTGTCATTGGTGAGAGGAGCAATTTTGGGGCCCAATGTCCAGCTGACTGTAGCCCAAGGAGCCAGATATGGGGGGTATAGTGCTGGTTTGGAGGAAAGCGTCAGAATCACAGAATGGTAGGGGTTAGAAGGGACTTTCGGAGACCATCTAGTCCAACCCTTCTGCCAAAGCAGGTTCACCTAGAGCAGGCTGGACAGGAATGCATTCAAACAGGTTTTGAATATCTCCAGAGAAGGAGACTCCACAACCTCCCTGGGCAGCCTGTTCCAGTGCTCTCTCACCCTCAAAGTAAAGAAGTCCCTCCTCATGTTGAGATGGAATTTCCTGTGTTCCAGTTTCTGCCCATTGCCCCTTGTCCTGTCACCAGGCACCGCTGAAAAGAGTCTGGCCCCATCCTCCTGACACCCACCCTTTAGATATTTATAAGCATTGATGAGATCCCCTCTCAGTCTTCTCTTCTCTAGGCTAAACAGACCCAGATCTCTCAGCCTTTCCTCATAAGAGAGGTGCTCCAGTCCCTTGATCATCTTTGTAGCCCTCTGCTGGACTTTCTCCAGTAGTTCCCTGTCTGTCTTGAACTGAGGAACCCAGAACTGGATACAGTACTCCAGATGTGGCCTCACCAGGGCAGAGTAGAGGGGGAGGATAACCTCCCTCAACCTGCTGGCCATGCTCTTTTTGATGCACCCCAGGAGACCATTGGCCTTCTTGGCCACAAGGGCACATTGCTGGCTCATAGTCAACTTGTCCACCAGGACTCCCAGGTCCCTCTCTGCAGAGATGCTTTCCAGCAGGTCAACCCTGGTCAGGATCCAAACATTTTGAGCGTGAATGGAGAAAAATGTCATACCATAATGTGAAAGTCGAAAAATAACAGGTGCTTGATCTGAGATTTTACAATTGCAATCAGCTACTCTGGGGAGACTGGAAACAGGTACCACGTACGTCAGGGAGAGAATTCCGGGGAGTCAAATTCTGAATCCTGTTTTAGAAGGATTTTAGGGCAAAAGTGTGGTTGCTGCACACAAGACAGAAAGCACAGAGTGAAGTGATGCAGTGGAGGCAACTATTTACCTATTTAGACTGCAGTGAGTGCAAGTCTGGGGCAGATTTGGCTGGATCTAGCAGAATGCAACTCCAGCTGCTTGGCAGCGCCTCGACGGCAGCATGTGCTGGGGCGAGGGCTCCTGCTCCTGCAGGGCCAGGCACCCGGCTCCGGTCCCTACACTACTTTTACTGCAGCACCCAGCCAGCTTCCCACAGGTCATGCTTTTCCCTCCCCTCTCCCGTGTTTGAACCGCTACGGAGTCAGGCTACAGGGCAGCATTCCCGACGGGGACTGCAGTTTTAAAAATAGTGCAACTGCACGTGATGGGAACAGGCAAGTTGTCAGGAGGAGCGGCACCACCGCCTGCGACGAGAACACTCGGAAAATATAAATATTAAGCCAAGCCCTTTTGTAGTACCCACCATCTTGCAGATATCCAGGGCTCTCTGAGTCTGATAGGCGCTCTCGGAGCAGCTGCTCCGGCGTTGACTGTCGCGGCCGTGCGGAGAGGTCCTGCTGCCCTGGAAGATGGAGGCAGCAGAGCGGGGGCGCTTCCTGCGCCAGCTCGGTGCAGAGCTCATGCACA